CCGAATTTGCCGACGGCCGTCGCCGCGGCCGCGGGCGCGGCCGCGGGCTTCTCGGCCGCGGGCTTCTCGGCCGCGGGCTTGGGCCGCGACCCGCCGAGGCCCAGGCGCTGGCTGCCGCCGTAGGCGGCGTAGGGCGACGCCGCGGGCGCGGGCGCGGGCGCGGCCGCGGGCTTTTTGGACACCGCCAGACCGTCGTAGGCCGCGGCGAGGCGCGAGCTCCGCGCGGGCGCGTCGAAGAAGACGTCGCCGTCGGCGTCGGGTTGGGGCGCGCCCCCGGCCTGCTTCTTCGGCGCGTCGCTGTACATGTCCGCGTCGTCGTCCTCGTCCGCGGAGTCGTAGCCGCCGGTGTCCGCGGGCCGCGGCGCCGCGGCCTTTTTGGGCTTCGCGGGGCCGGCGCCCCAGAGGGACCCGCCGCTGTAGGCGCCGGACGCCGCGAGGGGCGACCCGGGCTTGAGGTCGCCCGGGGCCGGTGGCGCTGGCGCCTGGGCAGGACAAGAGTGCGAAATTCCCAACTTCAAAGGCTCCTAGCTCGGCCGGTTTCCACTCGTTTCGGCTGATTTTTGGACGAGCGATCATCTCTCGGAACGGTCTCGAAGCGTGGATGCTTTTTCCAGAACGCGCGCGCGCGGAACACTCACGTTGAAGCGACGTTGAATCACCCTTGTCCTGCCCTGGCGGGCGCGGGCGTGGCGAAGAAATCGCCGTCGTCGTCCGCGAGCTTCCGCGCGCCGATGCGCCGCGACGACGACGTCTTCTTCTTCGACGCGCCGCCGCCGAGCTTCCCGAAGCCGAGCATGGCCGCGGGCGGCGGCGCGGGGGCCGGCGCGGGCGGCGGCGGCGGCGCGGGCGGCGGCGCCGCGGCCTCGGGCGCCGGGGCCGGCGGCGGGGCCGGCGGCGCCGCGGGCGTGGGCGCCGCCGCGGGCGTGGGCGCCGGGGCCGGCGGCGGGGCGGGCGCCGCCGCGGGCTTGGGCGCCGGCTTGCGGCGCGGGCGCCGCCGCGGCTTGGGCGCGGGCTTGGGCGGCGCGGCCACGACGAGCTTCGGCGCGGCCCTGGGCCCCTGGAGCCCCGCGGCGGAGAGGCCCGAGGCGGAGAGGCCCGAGGCGCTCAGCGCCGCGCCGGAGCCGACGGCCGACGCCTTGCGGAGGCGGAGCGGCACGACGGGCTTGGCCTTGGGCGACGGGACCGCGCGGAAGTTCACGGCCTCGGGCGCGGGCGACGGCGGCGACGCCGTCTGCTCCAGCGTCGAGATCTGGGGCGCCGACGCCGTGCGCGTCGGCACCGTGGGCTCGAAGTCGTCGAAGAAGGACGGCTCGGCCGCCGGCGCCGGCGCGGCGGTCGTTTCCTTCCTCCGGCCGCCGGCGAGCGCGGCCTGGACCTCCTTCGCGAGTTTCGCGCGGTAGGCCTTGGCCGTCGACGACGAGTACTTGGTGTCCTGGCGGATGTGGAGGTCGCGGACGCCGTTGGCGCGGAAGAACGCGCGCGCGTTCTTGTTGCCGCCGCAGCGCATCGTTTCCAGCTGTTCCTCCGTCCACTCGTCCATGTCGCAGGACCGCACGAAGGTGATGTGCGTGCCCAGGCGCCGCTGGCCGCCGGAGCAGTCGAGGCAGATGAAGACGCCGAAGGTCGAACTCGCCCAGATGGGCTTGCGCTGCGTGCAGTCGAAGCAGACGCGGTTGTCGGGGAGCGCCATGAGCCTAAACGGGCGCCGCGCGGTTCGAAGGCGGGCGGGCGCGGGGGGGGGGGTCGCACCGCTTGAAGACGGCGACGCGCTCCGCCTTGGGCACGTTCACCATGGTCTTTGACGCGAGTCTATGCGGCTGAGAGGCGGCCGCGACGTGTGCGGCCAGGCCGCGCCCGCGAGGCAACAGTGCACGGTGCACCGCATCGTTGCCGTCCAACGACGAGTGTTGACTGCTTCGCGGCGCGGCGCAAAGTCGTTCTAGGCTGGGGCAGCCCGCCTCTGCGCTGTTGAGGTCGGCGCGGCGCCGCGGCCCGCCCCCTCGACAGGCGCGTTGTTGAGTGTCGCGGCCGTTCGTGCCCGCCGACCGGGTCCCATGCTGCCGGCGAAGGCGGGCCCGCTGGACCTCGGCGAGGAGGAGAAGCGCAGCATGGAGCGCCAGGCGAGCAGCGTGAGCTTCGTCATCAGCCCGACGCGGACGTCGGACGTCGGGCCGCCGGGCCCGAGCCCCGTCAACGCCGCCTTCCGCCAGACGGCGCGGAACGTCAAGCAGCCGCGGAAGACGCGGCCGTCGCTGAATTTGTTCGGCGGCGGCCAGAAGCAGAAGCAGCAGTCGACGTCGAGCCTCGTGTCCATCAAGAACAGCGAGGAGGAGGGTTTGTGGGAGAACGCGGCCATCGAGGACTCGAGCCAGGTCGAGTTCCCCAAGGACGGGCGCCGCTGCCCGATCTTCGACCCCTTCACGCCCTATAGAGTGGCGTGGGACCTCGCGATGATGGGCGCGATCCTCTTCGTCATGATCGTCACGCCCTTCGAGATGGCCTTCATCGCGGACCCGGGCACGTTCATTCGGCTCCCGGCGGCGCCGAGCAGCGTCTGGCTCTGGTGCATGAACCGGCTCATCGACTTTGGGTTCTTCGTGGATCTGTTGCTCGCGTTCAACACGGCCTACTTCGACGAGGCGTCGGGCCACTGGGTCACGGACCGCTACGTCATCGCCCGGTCCTACCTCCAGGCCTGGTTCTGGCTCGATCTCGTGTCGCTCGTGCCCTACTCGGTGCTGCCCGTGTCGGAGAAGGCGGGGCTGCTGCGGTTCGTGAAGCTCGCGCGGCTCATGCGCCTCCTGCGGGCCTTCAAGTCGCCGCGGATTTTAGCAAATCTCTACAAGCACATCACGCTGCACAACCGCACGCAGACGCTCGTCAAGTACATCACGTTATTGATCGTGACGATCCACTGGTCCGCGTGCTGCTTGCGTCTCGCGACGTCGATCCACCTCGACAAGTGCGGCGAGCACCACGACAAGTGCCCGGCCACGGTGCTCACGGCTTCCAAGTTCTGGGCCGACGGCGTCTGGCCCCAGTACCTCGCGGCCGTGCTCTGGGCCTTCCAGTGCCTCCAGGGCGAGTCCGCCGCGGAGACGCACGTCGAGCTGCTTTTGAACGTCGTCGTCATGCTGCTGGGGTGCCTGGAGCTGGCCTTCATGCTCGGGGAGCTGACGAACACGCTGACGAACCTCGACCCCGTCGGGAACGAGTTCAAGCTCACCTTCGACAGCCTCAACGACTACATGACGAAGAAGAATTTTCCGATAGCGCTCCGGCTCCGACTGCGCGAGTACATCATGCTCGCGGAGCCCGTCTACCGCGACAACTACTACCGCGCGCTGTTGGAGAAGCTGTCGCCGCGCTTAGAAGCCATCGTCGCGCACCAAAATTTAGGCAACGTCGTCAACCGCATCCCCTTCTTCGCCTACACGGTGCAGCGCGCCTACGGCGTCAACACGGGCTCGCTCGTGGCCCTGAAGCCGTCGCGCGACGTCACGGACGCGGACGCGGGCGCCGCGGGCGACGTGCGCCTGGCGCACGTCGTCAACGTGCCGACGTACCTGAAGTACGACGTCGAGTACGTCGACGACGCGTCCGTCGAGACGGGCGTGTCGCACGCGCGCGTCGTCGTCGACCGCAACGACGTCCTTCTGCGGACGAAGATCCAGCAGACCTTGTATCAACGGGACCACTTCGTGATAGCCGTGGCCCGTTTGTTGGAGCCGCAGCTCGTCATGCACAGCGACATCATCGTCTACCGCAACCTGTCGCTCAACGACGTCATGTACATCGTCGAGACGGGCTACATCGTCCTCTTCGGCGCGGACCCGTCGCGGAGCGAGCGCGTGCTCGTGCGCAAGTCCAACGACTCCTTCGGCGACGACATCGCCATGAACGTCGGCGGCAAGGAGCCCGTGCTCCGCCAGTTCACGGCCAAGGCGAAGCGGAAGACGCGGCTCTTCACGTTGGGCAGCGGCCGCTTCAACGCGCTGTTGGAGGGGCCCACGTTTTCCATCTTTCGGACCTACATCTCGCTCTACGGCCGGTGGATGCGCATCCGCATGGTCCTGTTCCGGGGCCTCAAGTCCGGCCAGGTGCGGCGCAGGGCAGCAAAAGAGAGCGAAATTCCCAACTTCAAAGGCTCATATCTCGGTCGTTTTCCACTCGTTTCGGCTGATTTTTGGACGGGCGATCATCTCTCGGAAGAGTCTTGAAGCGTGGATGTTGTGTTTGCAACGCGCGCGCGCAGAACACCCACGTTGAATCGACGTTGAACCACCCTTTTCCAGGTGCGGCGCCAGCTCACGGCGCTCCGGAGCCGCCGCGCGCTCGCGATGCTCGGGGCCTCGAGCACGACGTCGAGCACGTCGAGCACGCCGCCGCCGCCGCCGCCGCCCGCGGCGCGTATAGAGGCGGCGCCGCTCGTCGCCGCGCTCCTGCGCCTCGCGCCGGCGGGCGACGGCGAGCTGCTGGCGGCCTTCGGCGCCGGGGACGCCGCGCACGTCCTCGACGCGCTCGCGGGCCGCGTCGGCGCGCCCGTCGCCGCGGCCGCGGCCGACCCGGGAGCGCGCGCGACGCAGCTCCGGACGCTGTGCGAGGCCGTCTGCCGGGGCCTCGTGGACCTCGCGTTCCGCGGCGCGGCGCCGCCGGGCGTCGCGCCGTTGGTGTTGGACCTCGCGGCGCGGCTCCGGGGGCGGACGCCGGTGCCCGCCGCCGGCGACGACGGCTACGACCGCGACGACGACGACGACGACCTCCGCTACCGGCCCGCGGGCGACAGGGCAGGAAAAGAGTGCGAAATTCCCAACTTCAAAGGCTCCTTTCTCGGCCGTTTTCCACTCGTTTCGGCTGATTTTTGGACGAGCGATCATCTCTCGGAACGGTCTCGAAGCGTGAATGTGTTTTCCGGAACGCGCGCGCGCGGAACACTCACGTTGAAGCGACGTTGAATCACTCTTGTCCTGCCCAGGCGGACGACGGCGCCGACCCGCTCCTCGACGACTTCGCGACGACGCTCTGGCACGGCCAGCCCCGGGGCGTCCGCAAGCGCCGGGCGCGGCGCGACGGCGCGCCGGCCTGCGGCGACGGCCTCCTCGGCCGCGACTGGATCGAGTGCGTCACGGGGCCCGCCGCGGGCCAGTAGGAGCGCCCCCCCACAATGCAGAGACACCCACCGAATTCAAGGACCCCCCGTATAACCCCACGTCGCTTCGAGACGTGACCCGCCCTCGTCGAGGGCGCGCAGCGCGCCGCGCACCGTCGCCGGCGTGACTTTGGTCGCGGCCGCGAGCTGCGCCGCCGCGTCAAAGGGCAACCCCGCGGCCTTTCCGCGTCTACCCGCGCGCGCGACGGCGACCGCCGCGTCGACGTCGCCGTCGAGGACGCAGAAGAGCACGCCGTTCTCCGTGGCCGCGTCCGGCGCGAGGAACGCGGACCCGCCGCGCGCGTCCACCGCGGCCACGACGGCCGCCGCGAGGTCGTCGCCCGCCGGGTCGCGCGCGTCCAACGCCGTCACGCGGACGACGTTCAGCGCGATGGCGCCCCGCGCGATGCGCACCACATCCGCCGCGAAGGCCGGCGACGCGAGGGCGCCGGGGAGGCGCGACGCCTCGTCGAAGACGTCGACGACGACGACGTCGTACGCGTCCGCCGCGGCGGCGGCGCAGAACGCCGCCGCGCAGGTTTCGACGATGCGGACGGACGCCGGCGGCGCCGTCGTCGCCCGGGCGGCGTCGATGACGGCCGCGTCGACCTCGACGGCCGTGACGGCGTGGGGCCCGTGCGCGGCCAGGAACGACGCTATTGCGCCGCCGCCGAGGCCGAGCGCGAGCGCCGCGGACGCGCCGTCGCCGCCGGCGAAGGCCGCGGCGCCGAGGCCCCGCGTGTAGCCGACGAGGCAGCCGCAGTGGACCTGGTCGTCGACGACGCGCCCCGCGGACTGGACGACGCGGCCGCCCGCCGTGCGCAGAAGTCGCCACGAGCCGCCGAGCGGCCTGTGATTCAACGTCGCTTCAACGTGAGTGTTCCGCGCGCGCGCGTTTCGGAAAAGCATCCACGCTTCGAGACCGTTCCGAGAGATGATCGCTCGTCCAAAAATCAGCCGAAACGAGTTTAAAACGGCCGAGATATGAGCCTTTGAAGTTGGGCATGTCGCTCTCTTGTCCTGCGCCGCGAGCGGCGACGCCGGCGCCGGCACCTCGGCGACTTCGATGTCTCCGCGCGCGAAGATGGTCCGCGCCGGCGCGTCGTCCCACCAGGCGAGCTCCCGCGGCGCGCCGGCGTCGAAGGGCCGGCGCGTCGCCTGGGGCAGGGCCCAGGCCACGCCGGCGCCGAAGCGTTTCGGCGACGGCACGAGGGGCGCGCCGCTGGCCGCGTCGACGCGCGGCGCGTTGATGAGGTGGTTTGACGTCGAGGAGAGCGCTGCGGCAACCAGAAGCACGTTTGCTGCGAGGCCGTAGCGACTCGCGCTGCGAGGCGGCATCGTTCAGCGCCTTCGTTGCACTCGCTGTTGCATTGTTGCTGTGGCAATTCCTCCCGATGAAGGAGGAGGCTGAGCTGCGGTGTTAGAGCGCGAGCCCGTGGCAGCCCGTTATCGACGTGCTTCGAGCCGCCCCACGACCAGCGCAATGGCATCCACGCCAGAGGCATGCCTCCAGCTCTACTTTACCGCGCTCCACGACTGCGACGGCGATGCCTTCGACGCCATGTTCCATCCGTGCGGCAAGCTGCTCGGCCTGGATCCCGACGGGTCCGTGGTCAGCCGCGACCACAGCGCCTTCCGCGCCGGCGCGCTGACGCGCGGCGCGAGCCCGGAGCTGCGCCGCCACGACCGCGTCCTGTGCACGCGCGCTCTCGGAGACAGCCTCCGCACGGCCAAGGTGCAGATCGCGTTGCCGGCGGCGCCGACGTCGCCGACGCCGACGACCCAGCCGGTGCTCTACACGGACTTTGTCGCCATGCTGCGGGACGGCGCGACGTGGAAGATCGTCGCCAAGGTCTACGCGTCGGGCGCGCTCGCGGACGGCGGCTTCGCCGGCGCCGTCGCGCCGGACGCGGCGGCGGCCGTCGCCGAGGCCGCGTGGGGGCGCTACGTCGGCTCGAATCGACGGGCGGACGGCGCGGGCATGGCGCGCGTCTTCCACCCAGAGGCGCGGCTCACGTTTGCCACCGACGACGGCGTCCGGTCCATACCGTCGGACGACTTCGTCGACATGGTACAGAATCGCTGGGCTTCGCCGGACCACCGGCGCTTCGCGCACCTCCGAGAGGATCCGCGCGCGTCCGCGCGCGACTCCGTCCAGTCCATCGACTTCGCGGGCCCGGACGTGGCCATGGTCGAGCTCGACGTCGGCATGCCGCCGAAGCTGTTCACCGACGTCCTGTTCCTCCTCCGCGCGCGGCGACCGCCGCCAGAGCGGCCCGGCGGCGCGCCCGGCTGGTGGATCGTCGCGAAATCGTCGATCTACGCGCCCTTCCTCGAGCACCTCGAGGCGGAAGACGCACGGCCCCCCGAGGCGTCGTCGTCGTCGCTCCGCGCTCGCGCCGCGAAGCTCCTGGCACGCGCGGACCGCCCCCCGCCGCCGCCGCCGTAAACTAACTACGAAGCCGGCTCTAGTCGTCGTCCTCCTCGCCGAGGAGCCGGCTCCGCGCGAGTGCTATGCGCCGGAACTCGGCGGTCGCCGCCTCCTTGTCGGTCCGCTTGTCGGGGTGGACGCGGCGCGCGGCCAACCGGTACGCGCGGCGGATCTCCGCGTCGTCCGGCGACGCGTCGGGCGGGAACCCGAGGATCGCGAGGTCGTCGGCCGTCGTCGCCGGCGGCTCGGCGGCCGCGTCGTCGTCGTCGTCGTCGGACCCGCTGCGAAAGGAGTCGCGGTAGGCTTGGCGCCAGTCGAACTCGGCGCGGGGGGGCGCGTCGTCGTCGCAATCGCTGTTCGCGCCGAGCGCGTCGTCGCCGACGGGCGGGAAGAGGACGTCCTCGAAGCGCGCGTTCCGCGGCACGTTCTTCAGGAAGTAGAGGCACTCTTTCGCGCGCGTGATGGCGACGTAGTAGGCGTTGTACTCCTGGCGCTTGTCGAGCTTCGTCTTCATCAAATAGGGGTGCGGCAGGCATTCGGGCTGGAGGATGTAGACGCGCTTCCAGCCGCCGCCCTTCGCCTTGTGGACGGTGGACAGCAGCGCGTCCGTCATCTTCTCCTCGCTTTCGAAACGCGCCGCGATCTCCGCGTCGATCGCCTCGGCGACGTCGGCGACGGGCTCGCCGGCGCGGAGCTCGTCGACGACGACAGTCAGGATTTCGCAGATGTCCTCGCCGTCGAAGTCGAATTGTTTCCTGGCGGCGCGCCACGTCGCCTCGCTCTCGAAGTCGTCGAGGTCCCGCGCGCCCGAGGCCGCGCAAGCCCTGACGAGCTTGCGGAGCTTCTTCGCGAGGTCCGTGCGGCCGCGCATGCGGCACGTGCGCCCCTGCCGGGCGAGGACGTAGAGCAGCCGCACGAGGTCTCGATTGCAGCGGCCGAGGACGACGGTGTCGCCCGCTTCCTGGGGCAGCGGACGCGACGAAAAGGTGACGTCGCGCTCGACGCGGCCCTCGGGGGCGTCGGTCCGCGGCCGCATCATTATGGGGTCCGCGGCGTCGTCGACCTTGCGGAGGTGGTCGTTCGCGAGGTCGATCACGGCCTCGGCGCACCGGTAGCACGTCGTCAGCTTGAAGCGCGGCGCGGCGAGATCGGAATTCTCCTCGACGAAGCGCTCGATCGCGCCGTGGTCCGCGCCCGCGAACGCGTTGATCGCCTGGTTGTCGTCGCCCACGACGAGCAGGCGCCCGCCCGGGGCGAGCAGCTTCCGGTATAGGTGGCGCCGCAGGCGGCTCGAGTCCTGCGCCTCGTCGACGAAGACGAACTCAAAGGTGCCGAAGACGCCCGCGCCGCCGCCGCGCAGCAGCAGGGGCGCGAAGATCATGTCGTCAAAGTCGAAGCGGCCGGCCTCGCAGAGGCGCACGCTCTCCGCGAAGACGCGCCGCGCCATGCGACGCGCCTCCGCGATCCGCGACGCGAGCACCGGCCACTCCCGCTTCACTCGCTTCTGCCGCGCCGCGCTGAGCCCCCCGCGGTCCAACGACCAATCCGAGAGCAGGTCGCCGAGGCGATGCCGCGCGATGACGCGGTCCCAGGCGCCGTCCTCGTCGTCGTCGGGCACGATCTCGGCCACGCCGACGCCGGCCTGCTTGGCGAAGGAGACGGCGTCGCGCACGAACGCGCCGTAGACGGCGACGCGGAGCGACTTCTTCGCTCTCGCGCCGTCCGAGAGCTTGTCGACGGGCCAGAAGGCGTCGAGGATCCGATTCGTCTTGTCGGCGCCGCCCCGCGCCGGCGCCCCCGCGTCCGCGGCGGCCGCGTGGTCGTCGTCGCCGAGCTCCCGCTCCGTCAGCCGCGCGCCGCCCCGCAGCGCGCGGCAGAGCTCCCAGCCGAGGCTGTGCGCGGTCCGCGCGCCGAGGCTCCGGCCGCGGGCCTCGAGGCCGGCCGCGCGGAGCTCCGCGCCCGCGTCCGCGTTGAAGACGAGCGCGACCTTGCGCGAACCGGGGCCCGCGCGCGCGTAGCAGTCGCGGAGCAGCCGCGACTTGCCGGCTCCGGCGACGCCGTTCACGACGATGAGCTTCCCGGGCCCCGAGACGGCCGCGTCGAGCTCCTCGAGGACGGCGTCGGTCTCGCTCCGCGGCGGCGGCGGCGGCGGAAGCGCCGGCCGTCTCGACCGCGCCGACGCCGCGTACGCGCAGCTGTGATGCGACCACTTGCCGAAGATCTTCCCGATTCGATCGCCCGCGATAATCATCCGCGGGCAGCGGGGACACGCACTCGCGAATCTGGCGATCATTGATCCATCAAGGGGACATTCACGAGTCCAGTGCCCGGTCTCGCCGCACTTATAACATTGTTTCCCGTACTTTTTGAGCGCACATTCCGGCTGCGGGTTGATCGCGCCGTCGACGCCCGGCAAAGCCAGCGGCGGCGTCGTCAGCGCATCAAAATCCAGTCGAGTGCGCGTGATATCATCACCATCACGGCGGCGCTTCGACGGTGTCAATGTGTCTGGCGTGGGCGCAGCGCGAGGCGAAGCCGAGGCGCGCGGCGTCAACGGAATCGTCGGGGACGGTGCCATAGTACTTTGAAAGCGCTACACGCTGCGCATGAGACGAGCTCGGCTCATCGGCGCTTGATCCCGTCGGGCTTCCAACGAAGCCTTCAATGAGGCTTCAACAACTTCTTCAAGAAGACCAACCCGAGCAAACGCAGGTTCCAGCAAGGCCTCCAGCAGCGGAGTCGCCCTGGAGCGCATACTTGCGCGCATGAGAGAGCGCAGGAGACATGAGGGGCACCATGAGCACGCTATGAACGCGGGGGCCAGCTACGTCGCGTCGATAACACACGCCCCTTGCTTACGGCTCCGCGGGGGGGAGCGCGGCGACGAGCGCCGCCGCCGCGTCGCGCTTCGCGTCCCAGCGCGCGCGGAGCGTCGGCGGCGCGCCCGGCGGCGGCGGCGGCAGCCCCGCGCGCGCGTCGAGGACCGCGAGGACCGCGGCCATGGCCCCGGCGGCCCCATCGAGCGCCGCGCCGAGCGTCGCGGGGTCGAGGGGCGGGTAGAGCTCCTCCGCGAGGGTGGTGGCGCTGCGCCGGAGCGCGGCGCCCGCGCCGTAGACGGAGGCCACGAAGCCGAAATCCCCGGCCTTGCCCGCGGCGTCCATGGCCACGAGCACGTCCTTGTAGGTCGCGCCGAGCACCCGGAGGCACTCGACGACGGCCGCCGCCGCGGGCCGCTCCGCGTCGCCGTAGGCGTCGTCGTCGCCGCCGAAGCCGTCGTCGATGGCGTCGTAGGAGAACGCCTCCGCGGCCGCGAGCTCGCCGAACTCGGCGATGGCGTCCTTGAGCTCCGTCGCCCAGGAGAGGAACTCGCGGCGGTAGGCCGCGCGGTTCGACGCGGGCAGCTGCCGCGCGGCGCCCGCGGCCTCCCAGACGACGCCGCTTTTCGCGTTCTGCGATCCGTCGCCGGCCGCGAGCGACGCCGCGAGCGCCCGGAGCGCCTCGAGTAAGCGCCGCGCGGCGCCGCGCGCGAGGGCCCGGAGCGGCGCGCCGGCGCCGGCGCCGTCGCCGCCGAGGACCTGCGCCGCCGTCGCGAAGGCGTCCGCCGCGGGGCCGAGCTCGTCGCACAAACTCGCGGCCTGGGCACCCGTCGCGGACCCGTCGCCGCAGCAGAGCGCGAGCTTCACGGACCCCCGCTCGAGGTCGTTGGCCGCCGTGACGAAGATGGCGAGCGCCACGCCGATGGCGTCCTCCTTGCCCGACGCCCAGGACTTTGGGACGGCGGCCGCGGGCGGCGCGCCGGCGACGGCGACGTTGCCCGCCGCCGCGGCGAGCTGGGCGTCGAGCGCCGAGTCGTCGAGCTGGGACGTGAGCGCCGCGCACTTGGCCGCCAGCGCGGCGACGACGGCGGAGGCAGACTCGGCCATCGTGCTCGCCAACTGCACCGTCGACCTTGCCGCCACCTTGATGCGCAGAATTCGAAGGCAGCCCATTGGTCTCAAGTCGAGTCCGCGTTTAATCGCCTGATAAAGAAGGAAGTGTTCGCGCCCGTCGCCGCCATGGCCTTCTCGGCGCCCGTGGGCTACGTCTGCGCGTTGGGCGCCGTCGTCGGCTTCGGGTCCAACTTCATCCCCGTCAAAAAATACGACACGGGCGACGGCATGTTCTACCAGTTCGTCATGTGCTGCGCCGTCATGTGCTGCGCCCTCGTGCTCAACCTCATCATGTCCGACTCGTCCGTCGCCTTCTCGAAGGACGCGGGCCTCGTCGTCGCGCTCAAGTCGCCGCCCTTCGTGCCCCTGGCCATGCTCGGGGGCTTCATCTGGGCTTCCGGCAACGTCATGTCGGTGCCGTGCATCAACTTCATCGGCATGTCGCTGGGTTTGCTGATCTGGGGCGCGACGAACATGGTCGTCGGCTGGGCGTCGGGCCGCTACGGTCTGTTCGGGCTCAACAAGGACGCGATAGCCAATCCCGCGCTCAACTACGTCGGCGTCGCCTTGGTCCTCGTGTGCCTCGGCCTCTTCACGCGCGTCGAGACGAAGACGCGCGCGGACCTCCTGCGGGAGGCCGACGGGTCCCTCGACGAAACCCTGCTCGTCGACGAGGCCGGCGACGCCAAGGTCGTCGAGAAGCCGGGGCTCTTCGGCGTCGGCACAAACGCGCGCCGAACCGCGGGCATCGCCATGGCCGTCGTCTCCGGCGTCTTCTACGGCTCCAACTTCGACCCGCCCCAGTACGTCATCGAGCGCCACGCCGACGACGACGTCCGGGGCCAGGTGCTGAACTACGTCTTCAGTCACTTCACGGGCATCTTGCTGACGTCGTCCTTCTACTTCGCGGCCTACTGCGCCTTCAAGGTCTGCCGGGGCGACGCGCCGGACGTGCGGCGCGAGCTCGTGGGCCCGGCCTTTTTGTCGGGCTTGATCTGGGGGCTGTCGGACATCTGCTGGTTCGTCGCGAACGAGGCGCTGTCCTTCTCCGTGTCCTTCCCTCTGGTCACGTCGGGCCCGGGCTTCGTCGCCGCGGCCTGGGGCATCTTCGTCTACGGCGAGATCTCCGGCGCGGCGAACTTCCGCGTCCTCGGGCTCGCCTTCGTCATTTTGGTCGTCGCCTGCGCGCTCATCGTCGTCTCGAAGAACTGATGTGTGTGCGACCCCGGTCTAAAAACAAGGAAACTAGAGTTCCTCCCCGAGCTCGCCGCGGCGCAGGGGCCGCGGGCGCGCGGGTTTCGCGTCCGCCGGCGGCTCCCGCGGTCGCGGCGGCTCCCGGGGCGGCGGCGGCGCGCGCGACGCCATGAGGTCGGCCTTGGCCGCGTGGATGGCCGCGAGGAGCGCGCCGCGGTAGGCGCGGGCGGCGGCGACCTCGCGTTCCGGCCCCTCGGCGACGCCCGACGCGAGGGCCCGGAGCACGTCCGCGGTGGCGCCGTGGAACGCCGCGGCGCTCGGCCGGCCCGTGGACCAGTGCACCCTTCCGCCGTCGACCTCGAAGGGGAAGTCGGGCACGAGGTCCCAGGTCTGGGGGTCGGCCTCGACGAAGCCGTAGTCGCGGAACATGTCCGGCGCGGACCGGCCGTACGAGTTGTAGAGCTCCTCGCCCGCGGCGATCTCGCGGTGCGCGACGACCTTGACCTCGACGCCGGCGTCGACGTGGACGCGCGTGTTGTGGTGCCGGCCGTTGCGGTGATTATAGAGGTCGTAGAGCGGCGCCATGAAGTGGACGCCCTGGCCCGCGCCCGCGCGGCCGACGACGAGGTGGAGCGCGCGGTCGTCGGCGCCGTCGGCCGCGCCGCCGGGCCGGCACTTCGCGTCGAACCAGGCGGAGTGGCGGCGCCAGTCCCGCGGCGGCAGCTTCGCCACGTTGTCCAGCGACGACCAGGCGTCGGGCAGGGCCGGGTCGTAGCTTTCCAGCGACGCGAGGTACGCCGCCAAAGGGTCGGCCGCGTCCTTGGCCCGGAGCTTCGCCGCGAGCGCGAGCGCGAGCGGGCACGTGCCCTCCGCCGCGAGGAGGCCGGACCAGGGGATCCGCGCGAGCACGGCGCCGGCGTCGATGGCGCGGCGGGCGACGACGCCGCGGTAGCCGGGCGCCAGCTCGACGATCTCCTGGCGGTGGTCGACGTAGCCGCCCGCGGCGCGGATGGCCGCGACCACGGCGTCGCCGGGGCCGTCGTCCGACGCGCCGGCCGACGCGCCGGCCGACGCGGCGACGACCAGCAGCACGAGGAGGCGTCGCATGGGTGCGCGCGCTTTTTTTAGGCCTCCATCGCGCGCACAGCTCTCGCTGCTCCGCCAGCCTCAACGAGGCGTTCAACGAGGTGTGCGAGCCGCGGCCCCGCCGCCGCCATAGTTGCGCGCGCACGCCGGACCCAAGCTCGAGCGCGCCGCCCGGCGAAACCCATACCGCGCCCTCGGCCGCTTAGACGGCCGCTTACTCCCCCGCCCCGGCCGGCGGGCTCGCGAAGACGACGTCCCGCTCCGCGAGGGGGTTCGCGTGGATCGTGACGCGCTCGATGCGCACGTCCGTCGTCGGCCGGTTCTTCTTGCCCACGGGCAGCTTCTCCAGCGCGTCGAGGGCGTCGAAGCCGTCGATGAGGCGGCCGAAGACCGTGTAGCGGTCGTTCAAGTGCGGCTGCGCGTCGAAGGTGAAGAAGAACTGGCTCCGGTTCGTGCCCGGCCCCTTGTTCGCCATGGCCAAAACGCCCCGCCGGTCGTGCCGGTTCTCCGCGTGGAACTCGTCGCCGAACGCGCCGCCCCAGATCGACGCGCCGCCCTTGCCGCTGCCCGTCGGGTCGCCTGTCTGGACCATGAAGCCGCGGATGACGCGGTGGAAGGGCGACCCGTCGTAGTACCTGCGGGCGGCGCGCGGCGTCGCTCGGCTGTCGGTCGGCGTACGGCGCCGGCGCGGTGCCCGGAGGCGCAGAGCGCGAGGAAGTTGAAGGACGTCGCCGGCGCCGTGTCGCAGAAGACCTCGACCTTGAGGTCGCCGACCTGTGTGGGCGCGCGTGCGAAGGCGTCTGTTGGTCGCGGACGCGGCGCGGCGCACGGCTGTATGGAGTGTTACGGACATCGCGCCTCGCCTGGGAGGCAGCAACCACAGGTGTTTACCCCTTACTCTAGGAGCTTCCCCCTTGTTGCCCCTCATCTCGAGCTCATGGCGGCCCTCACGTAGCCGCCCCACGCAGCCCCCGACGAGGCCGAAACCGACGAGGAACCGTAGACCGAGGACCCTCATCTCGTGCTCATGGCGGCCCTCACGATGCCGCCCCGCGCAGCCCCCGGCGAGGCCGAGACCGACGAG